ACACCATTTCCTTGTCTAAAGTTCACATATACTCATTGTTTCAATTGAAACTCTTCCGATCGTTTTTATGGTGCTGTAGGAATGAGTTTATTCGAATTTTTTATTCCATGTTTTTCGTGAAGTTTATGACGGATATTCAAAAGGAATTATTTGCGAAGTCGTTCATTCAGTAATGAACAAGCAGCATGTGACTTTTGTGTCGCACCAGTTTCGCATTTTTCTAAATGTGTTTTGGTGCCTTATGTCCTTCCACCTTTTTATTCCGTAAGAGAGATCTAGGTAGTAAGTCCCACGCCACGCCCTATTCATACAGAACATTTTTTATTTGATCTTATTTATTCGTAGAATTCAACTTTTTGGGTATCAGCGAAGAATTTTGTTTTGTTCTTGTATTTTGATCCTCATCTACGAAGAAAAATTCTTCACTTTAATTCTCTATCTAAGAGTTATTTGTAGGAATAATTGTAATGTTATAATGTTTTTCGACAAATTTTGTGGAATCTTATCTTGTTTTGTTGAAGCTTGGATGATAATGATCAGTTCTATTGTAAACACATCGTCATGGATAAATGCCCCTGCTTATGACGGTTTATTGAGCACAAGTTTGAAATTTCTGGTGGTTTTTTTTTTACATTGGCCTAATTTAAAAAGATATTCGTAAAATATTTGTGTGTTCATGACGCCGAGGTTTGGCTAGACACACTGCTCGTAAATGAGGGATTGTTAATCCTGTTGTTAAAATGAACACTACAATAGAAGTAAAAGGGTTCTTCGCATTAGAAATGATCAAGGTTACTGAAAGTTGCTTTCCTTGATTTACCGTTTACTGTATAAATCTTTCTCGTGAATTGACATACAGTGTTCTAAAAATCTGCAATTCTATAGTGTTCGAAATTTAATTTTTCTTGATCGATCCCATCGCGTTCAAAATAGCGATTTTTCGTCGATCAAATCATTCTACATTGCTGAGGAGAACGTATAGACATTCCAATTTAGTGTGATCACGGCATCCCGCTTTCTATGTCTCGGATGCTTCGCCTACTATCCTCGTCATCGAAATTTCTGGATCACGTGACGCGTGACAATTTTTTTTTTTGCATGAGCTAGTGGTATTGAAAAAAGTGACCCGTGCAGTTCTTCAAAGGCGCGTCATGTGTACGTTTTATTTTTTTTTTCTCAATTTTCCCGACGAATAGTATAAATCTGCTATCATCGGTGAATTTTACTGACGCGCGTTTCCACTGTTCCCCAGGGGACATCCGTTAACGAAGCCCGCAAAACGATGTCGAAGTACCACGTTCCGGGAATCGCGAATAGAGACGTGGTATGGAATCCCATTCCTGTAGATGTTGCATGATGGTCTCGTGGCTTGTTGTGTATTGCATTGAAAATGCTTTTACAAGCGGTTACCTCTTGAGATCTCGTGAAAGGCTGGAAACGCGGTTTTCCTTGACCTAGATGATTCCCCTTTATCGCGCTTTGAATTTGATTAATGCTGTTTCATTTATTGCGTTCATTCAAGTCAGACATTAGAACAATTTCAGTTTGCCTTTCAGCCTTGAACGTATAGTTTTTTTTCTGCCAACTGAGTTGATTATGAACTAGTTTTGCGCATTTCAATAAATGCAATTCGAGGAATTTTTCGTTGGTTAATTTTTTTTTCAAACTACTGCGAACCGTTTTGAAATGCGTTCAGAGATTCCTTTTTTTTTTTTTTATCCATTGATCATTGATGTCAGGTGATTGAAATAAGACGGAATTTCTGGAGTTTCAGAGTTGCCAAGCGGCAACTCTGAACCATTTTGGTAGAACTTGACAGTATTTACAGTATTCTGAATTTCCAACTCACCAGAACTAAATGTTTTAATCAAATGTCATCTCCAAGAATCAAACGCGCGGAGATTAAACCGTAATCCTTTTCTGCGGGTTGAAGTATCGTTTGAATTGAATTTTGGATTAAATCAACGGTTTAAAGTTTGAATTTTCAGGATTAATGAAATCCTTCCTATTCATCTGTGTGTTCTTGGAGAACTAGTCGATTTCTCCTCTGTTCATAGTTTTTTATAAGAGCTTGCCGGATAAAATTGCAGAAGCTTGCAAATGTTGCCAGATGAGGAAATTTGCAACTGATCATCTTCTGACGAAACCCTCCAAGTCGTAAATGGGCGATTGCTATATTGTGGTGGTTTTCTGCGATACATGAATAGAGAAATCTTGACACGTTTCAATTAATTTTCACCTTTTAATTGTTGTCTCATTATTCGTGAAATTCTGTCACAGTTGCAATCCAAGTGGAGGATTTTTTATTTTTTGCATCGGGAATCTAAATGCGGTGCTCCGCAATTGTATAATATGATATTCAAATAAGTGCAAAATTTTAAAAACTCATTTTAAACATCTTTATTATTGTGCGTTGTCTTTCAAAGAGTTGGCATGTTAGAAACATTTTTGTAACATTCAGAAGTTTTAGAAGTTTAGAATGAAAGTTCTTGCGGAATGAAATACTGTAAAGCGATCTCGCATTTCTGCGATTTTGGGATCACCGGCCACTCAAAAAAGTTCTTGAAAAGTCCAGAATTGCTCGGAGAGGTATTCTGATGCGAGGTTTATGAATCGTGAATAAATTGTTGGGATTTCCTTTCTTCCGAAAGTTTCACGAAATGGAGAAAAATTTTGCATTTCTCAAAAAAAATTTCATCGTAAGCGTGAATTGCTCGGTTTTTTTCGGCCTTGATGTCCCTCAACGTTGTGCAAGTCGTCGTTTCATCTATCTTCGTTTCCGTTGTCTTCCCTTTCTGTCTCCGTCTCTTTGCAAGGGTACGATGGTCGAGGATGCCAAGGCACTCATCGGCAACAGCGGGTTGAAAATCTTGCCTTGCGACAACCTGGATGAAGCAGCCGAATTAGTCGTCAAGCTGTCCCACATCGTCACGTTGGCGCGTGACGTAAAGGTTGACGTCAATTTTGAGCTCCCGTTGTGATGAGTTCGTGCTATGTTCGCTAGTGACCGTTTTTCGCTTCCCTATTTTGAATTCTTATCGCGGGAGGGGATTCTAAAGCTATTTCTGAAAGGGCTTCTTGTAGGAGGGAAGTTTGATTGAGGTCACTTTCAGTGGTTTGTCTTTCTTAGAACGACAAGCTCGGTGAACCGTTCCGAAAATTTGCCCCTTGAATCTACCCTCAATACGAAGAAGGTGCATAAGATAAAATCAAACGAAAGGCCATCAACGAAATCCATCGTTCTTAACGTTGGAGCACGGTTTTTTTTTTCAGGTGGATACCGGATGCCGATTGCTTGAAATCCGGGCAAAATTTTTCATCATTTCTTTTCATTCCCTGTGGTAGGAAAGAGCAGCTTTTCTCTGAATTCAGCGCCCTCGAGAAACATAACTATTGAAAGTGGTCCTCACTTTCTGGGTATAACCAGGCTTTTCGTGCGTTAGTGTCGCATTTAAGTTACCATTTTGAAAGGTTTTTTTAACTCGTGGAAAGAGTGTTAGAGAATCTAGTCGAAGCCAATGCTACGATGCTCTTGAATAGAAAGGTTTTGCCAACCCACGAAGAATGCTTAGTCTCCGTCCTGATTTTTTCTTTTGGTTGTAAACGTTTTCTTCGTGAGAAAATTATGATGAAGTATTGAAGTATGATTTTAAAACTACACTTCGAACAGTCTCTCGTGAGTTGAGCGCGTCCAGGAAGAGCGAATGCCCTAAATAGCACCTGTCGAAAACCGGGAGGGTATGAGCAAAACCGATCCTTCGTGACAAAAGAATGATACAGTTGATCAGGTCAAGTTAGTTATTTCTCTAATACTTCCTGAACAGAATATGATAAGTGTGCTTATGAATAAAATTAAGAAAATAACACTTCAACGCCTTGAAAAGGATACTGTTCTCTTGGCGTGCTCGTCTGTTCCCATTTTTTTTTTTTACACGGTGTTCCTTTGCATTTTGTGGACACACGCCGTTTTTTGTCGCACTCAATAGTTTCATTACTGATTTTTCTACCGTGAAATAAAATTGAAGTGCTTGAGATCGGTGATTATTTGCGAGAAGTGTATTCCTTGCGAAGAATTGGAGGATTTTTCTGGGTAACGTCAAAAAATTAAGTGGTCCTCTAGAAATTTAATTTCTTTCGAGAAGAGTAAGCGAAGCTTAGTGTATGATTAGACGTTTTGTTTTTGAAAATCTCTTACGGTGTTTTCTTTTTTTTTTCGTTACTGGGAACGCTGGTCGTGGTTTTTATTGTGTTGGGGAATCTGCGAAGAAATGAAAGCGAAAGCGGTGTATCCAGCGAGGGTCTCGCGTGCAAGAATTTTAATCAGACCTTATCCCTGTGTCTCCGCTGAATATTTGCGCGGATCAATTTTCGGCGAATAAAACCGCTATTCCCCGTGATGCATTGACTTTCTGTTCTGTGGATGGGAACCCTGTTGAACCCCCTTGATGGATGAGAGTCGGAGATGTAGGAATAAATTATTTTTGGGCCCAACTACTGTGAGATTTGTTATCCAGGGTTACTAAATTGTTCATGTGCCGTATCCTCTTAACTGCGTTCGATTTCCTTCGAATGTGACAAATTGCATCGAGGTCAAGCTTTCTTTCTTCTTTGGTTTTTCGTGTCCTAAGTCGCTGTCCAGGTTCTCCAGGCCGTCAATAAGCACAAATTTGATATTTATGGCAGTGTACGAGGGTTAGTTCTCAGGTTTTGCCAAAAAAAATCAAAATATTTCCGCGAAACTTTTTGGAGCTTTTATGCGAGGTAAACTTTTTTTATCACCTTATAGATCAAATCGGCGTCTGTGCCTTTTAGTGGACTGGAAATTTTGAATGTTCTCTTTCATCCTCCAAAATACACGCTAAGAAAATTTAGTTTCATCTGGAACTTAGTACTGTATACCAAAACATCTGCGTCGGAGTTCTTCAAAGTACTGTGGAATCAATCCTGAAGCACCAGGGGAGCCTTTCTCTGCTTTCAATAAAGGATCCTCCTCATTTGCAACCCTGACTTGGACATCTTACTGACTAGTTTATATTTCAAGGCAATCTTCATATTTCAACTTATTAAAAGTAAAATCCTCATGCTCAAAACTTTATTTATGGCTTTTCAATCGAAATTGATACGTGTCGCTCAAGTCGAATTTTCATTACATCAAAATTATGCATTAACTTGAGCCATACGAAGGAAGATGTTCTTACGGGAAAATGTCTTGAATCCGGACACAAAAACTATCCACTAATAAATTTCGTATGGACTTTGATCGCAAAATAAAACCATAGAAATTACGTTAAATCCGTGTCAATGAATGTGAAGATCGGAAAAACTTTTGGGCCAGCCCTCGTACTTGCAGTTTTGAAAACAGATGGGTGTTCTTTCTTTAGTTACTGACTGGATCGAATTTGGTAATGTATCGTGATCCTGAGGCATCGTGAAATCATGTTTTTAATGTACCAATTTAAACGCGGCAGCACAGCTTCGCAAATTCTGCGCATGTTTTGTGAAATTAATGTACATTAGCATTTCACGAATAGTTCTGTATTGAAAATTGTATCGCAGTCCCGTAATGAACTATTATGACTTTCAAGGCCTTCATTGAAACGTTTTTAAGGCGCGGTCAGAAGCAGAATTTTTGCTAGTGTTCAATCATGGCTCTAGTGATTCGTGCGACTCGCGGGATCTTGGCAACGTTTCTCGGTAAGAACGGCGAGTATTTCGTTTTGTTTTTCGGTTTTGTATTCTTTTGTTTACCCGAGCGTGTCTTACAGTATTTTGTTTTGTGTGCTCATTTTCAGCATGTTTCCTGGCTCAGATCATTACTTGCGAAGAAGTTCTTATAGGTAAAGCCGAACTGGAGGAACTTCGACGTGAGTACAATTCTTCGTGAAGTTGAACTTCTATTGAACGTTCATTTGGGTTCGCTGAAGTATGCGGAAAGATATTTCGGATGCATGTATTTGCTTTTCAGAACGTTTCAAATATGTACCTTATGAATTATCCGAATGGTTCGAGTTTCAACGAGATTTCAAAAAAATCTCGGACAACCGAAAACCCTCTCCATAAGAAGTACTGTATCACATTTCTCACCAACTCTAATAAACTTTTCAGGATATTTTTTTTAATTACTGAATTTACTATCCTTATTTTTCAGTTCTTTCGTCGCAGCAAGAATTTTTTCAAATTGTGGAACAATGCGAATCCCATTTCCAAAATTAGAATGAATTCCGTCTTTCAAAATGTTTTCAATTTATTTTCCTGATACGGCTGAGAACGTGGTTGTAGGCAGGTAATGCATGCGGTAAGCGACGAACTTCCATCGGTCAAGGGGAACTCCGGATAACCCGCTTTTGAGGATAATCTAATTCCTGGAATTTTATTAGATATATTAAATGATGTTCAACGATTTCCCGACGTGAACTAGCGACATTTTCGCTAATCTCGGAGTTCATTTGCATGGTTAAATAATCAGAGCATAAAGCGGCATAAGTTGAAATCACCAGCCTACCTTTGTTTCATCTCAATGAATCAAAACTAATGAATCAAGTGTCCGACCAGTAATGAAAAACCATCGAGGTATGTTGCTTTTTTTCTTTAGAAAATTTAACCTCAGCTCAAAATGGTTTGGAGAAGCTCGAAGATAAACTCGGCGTTCTGGAAAACGATTTGCGTTTGGCATCCTGCGCGAAATCGTTCCCTCGGGTCAAGTTTCGCATGTACACGGACCGGAAACGGGTTCTCGTCACTGGGGGTGCCGGATTTGTGGGCAGCCATCTTGTGGATAGACTCATGCAGGATGGTCACGAAGTCATCGTTGTGGACAACGTGTACACGGGGCGACGAAGGAACGTTCAGCATTGGATCGGACACGAGAATTTCCAGCTGGTGACGCATGATATCGTGAATCCCTTGTACATGGAGGTGGAGGAGATCTACCATCTTGCCTCTCCTGCCTCGCCGCCGCATTACATGTCGAATCCGATCAAGACTCTGAAAACGAATGCTTTGGGGACGCTGAACATTTTGGGTAAGTGCCTGCAAACTTTTTCCTGGGAAAGTTCTTCGACATCATTGAAAACTATTTTCAAACCGCGTATATCTCGAGAAGCATTGGATGTCCCAATCAGAACCAGTGTTTGAATATGTGGTTTAAATTGGATGTTATTTGAGTTTCGATTTTTCATGATCAGGTTTGGCGAAGCGAGTAAAAGCGAAAGTTCTGCTGGCGAGTACTTCGGAGGTTTACGGAGATCCTGAGGTTCATCCTCAACCAGAAACCTATTGGGGAAACGTGAACCCTGTCGGTAAGTTCACAAGCTTTAACGTAGCTCGTAAGAGTTTCTATCAATTCTATGTGTTTTTCTATGTATTTATTTGCTCAATCGACTTTTATTTTGACGTCGTGGTCCGTGATAATTCTTGGCATTGAATGAAATAAGTGAACTTTATTTTCTTTGAAATCTATTTTCTGTGGTGCGATTTAAAATAAAGTTGTCAATTTATACTGATCAACTACTGAAAGATCAACTCAAGTCGCACATTTGAACGGAATTATGCTGACGTCTCTATCATTTGTCGAATCGGAATAGATCGGCCATTGTTCGATAATTTCTGAGAGGCTCAAATCCTTAGCAAGGCTTCAGGAAGAACCCTGAAGTAAAAAAAATTGCTCTTTGTTTATTTTTCGGCGGAGTTTCGTTTTCGTAAAAAAAAATTATTTTATGACGGCGAAAATTGTAGGTCCACGTTCCTGTTACGACGAAGGCAAACGAATTGCGGAAGCCTTCGCCCGGTCCTATCACGAGTACGAAGGCGTGGATGTTCGTATCGCTCGTATCTTCAATACCTACGGTCCTCGCATGCACATGAACGACGGTCGGGTCGTGTCCAATTTCGTGACCCAGGCGTTGTCTGGCCAACCCTTGACCGTGTACGGGGACGGGACTCAAACCCGCTCGTTTCAGTACGTGAGTGATCTGGTTGACGGGCTTCTGGCGCTCATGAACTCCTCATACACTATGCCTGTGAATTTGGGGAATCCGGAGGAGCGAACCGTGATGGATTTCGCGAGAATCGTGCTTGGCATGACTGGCTCCAAGTCGACGATCGTGCACAAACCGTCGGTCGAGGATGACCCGCAGAAAAGGCGTCCAGTCATCGAGCTGGCAAAGCAAGTTTTGGGCTGGAAACCCAAGGTGATACAATATTATACATCTCTCCGTCATGCAGGATATATTTGCATTTCCTTCTCCTGCATGTAATCCATGAATGCCAAGACCATTTTTTTACTGCATGGAAACTCTTCTTCCGTAAAACGAAAAGGAAGATGATAATATACATGATTTCAATCAACTGAGAAAGTCCTAGAGCTGGGCTTTTGAAACAGTGATTAGTTTTAGGCGTACCACTGACTTGTTACTTGGAAAGACGCTAAACTTTCTATCCTTGAGGTAGAACCTTTTGGTTGAATAATCGTTGGCTGACAAAGAAATAGGGGCGAATTGAACGAACGAGAAGTTGAATAAAAAATACTGTTCTAACTGTGTAAGCAGCGTGATGTTGGAGACATCGTATAGATTGAATAGACATTGAAGTATGCTGTAGAATCTCAGTACTTTACTGTACAACGAAGCGTTTGGAACCTTTAAAAAGCTTCGTTATAAACAAAATTCGTTGAAACGAAATTGTAATAGCATTGTAGCAATCGGACAGGAACAAAAAAATGTCCTTGCAATCATTAAATCATGTTGTGATTTTTCTTTATTACACGGGAAACCAAATTGTTATAAAGCTGAAGATGAAGTGCGGTTTCTTGAAAATCGTGAAGTAGGTGTGGACTACCGTATCCTCAATCTGATTTGATGCGATTTGGTTGAACTTCCTTCTGTATTGTACATTGGTAGTTATAAGCCAACACTCGTGTTCCTTGAAAGCAATAAAAAGAAAACGGTTGAAAAAATATGCCTGAAGTAGGTAAATAAGGAATAAGCCAAGATCATTCCTCCTTGTGTGACGGAATGTCGATTAATCTATATTGTTAAAATTATTTGCCGAGATCTAAATTGTTGAAATTTGAGTATGCTTCTTGAACCAAGGAATTGAAGAGAAAAATTCTCCTGTCAATTGTCTCCCATCGGCAAATTAGTCGTTACAAAAGGAACTGGAGACATTTCAGAACAAAGTTGTTCACGAAGTTGATAACTCCTCAAATATCCCAAGTCGTCCTTTTTCTCTCCATATAATGTCATCAAGAAGAGGTTATGCTCCGACGTTACAATACATTTCGACTTGTTATTATCCATGTTTTCAGCCTCCAGTGGAGCAAGTAGAAGAATTAACAAGACGCAATATCGAGAGAATACTGCGACGTATGACCGATGTGAAATCCAGTGTGTTGCAATTTTATTCTTAATTTTGCAAATCCTGAGTACAAAAATTAGTTTCATCCAATTATTCGGGTAAATAATTTCTAACCCTCTCGTAGTCCGCGCTGTAGTTCATTTTTACACGATTTGCCATCTGTCAGTGGTCGGTTTTTTTTTGAAGTCCAGTTCATTTGAAAGTACAGTAAACTGGTAAAGTACAAGTTCGAGTGGATGTTGTCGTAAAAATTAGTGCTTCTGAAGTTCTGACAGTGGTGTTACGTCCGGACTTCCAAGTGCTTATGTCAGGAGGCATGGTGTGGGAGAAAGTGTTCCCCTTGTGTATTTTCTTAAGCCCAGACTTCGTGAGGGTTTCCGAGTGCCACTTGAACTCACGATTTCGAATGCGAGTTGAGCATTCCAGAGCTCTTATCCGAGTTTCGCCATTTTTTTCTCATGCGTCTTCATTATACAGTACAATAAATTTCGTTTGCGGAACTCTTTTTAAAATAAATTTCCAAGATGCAGTTCCTTTTGCTTACTTCTGTATGCGGTAGCTTGCAAATTATTAGTACTGTACTGTATTATTTTTGGGCTCCAACGAATAGGAATTTTCCTTCTGTCAAGGTTCTATCGTGAGTCACAGGTGTTCTCGTTTTTGTATATTCTCTGTGGACCTAATTTTTTCATGTACAGAGTACAGTATTGTTGCATGGTTTTAGTATACACTGATTGCTAATACGGTTCGAATGCTAGAAATGTCACCTACATTGACTGTATATAACAAACAATCAAATTAATTGTATGAGGGACTGTGGGTGATATTTCTGCAGACGTTATATAGGGATTTTAATTGTGAGAGGTATTCTTTGGTTTGTATCTGTCCTTATATCTATGCCTTTGGTCATGTGACCTGACCCAAGGTACTAGGTTTCTCTCCTGTCCGTAATTTGTAGGAGTACAGGTACTACATTTCAAAAAGTCACGTAAACATTGCAAGTATAGATGCACAAAGGAAACCCCAGTTCCCAGTGGTTTTTCCTTTGCTAAGTTGAAAACAAATTCTTGAGTGAAATAAATATAATTTGATGATATCGAATGGAGTAGAGAGAAAGTTTCATGTTTTGTAAACTGCAGTATAATTAATTTTCATTTTACTCAAACACGGACTCACACAAGTCCGTTGTTTTCAGTGGAAATCTAGGAAAAAATCTACATTTGACAATGGACGATATGACAAATCTGTATGTGAATACAGTAAAACTAATGCATCTTGAAAAATGGAATGCAGATGCTTTTGGAAGAAGTACCAAATAAAGGCATCTAGTGTCATCTGTTGAATGTTCCCAGTGGTTTTTCCTTTTGGGAATGGCAACATGAATTCCTCCAGCTTGTTCGGTATCAATTTCGTCCGTTTTCTCAGGAGAATTCACAAATATTAAAATTTAGAATTTTTAACAAGTTTTGGAAACTTTATAACTGTTTTCATTTTCCTCGTTTCAACTTTCATCCGAATAAAAGTGATAAACCCTTACCCATCCAAAATCGCTGACAACGGGGTCGATCAAAAGGGTCAACCCACAGGGACAAAGAATTGAACGGGGGCAGGGTATGTAGGAGCCAACTGGTGGCCGGGGTAGTCGGAAGATCTATAAAAATCGTCCCCCTTGCCCCTTGGGGCATTCAATAAATAAAATGCAAAATTTCTAAAATGCCCAATCAATGCTAAGGCCAGAGTCCTAGCTACAGCTGCAATTATTTTTTGGATTTTTTGAAGTTCCAATAGCATGCCTACTTACTTTTTTTAAATAAAAATATTCTTGAAACTAGGTTATTTGGTATCATTCTCTTCGTGTTTTTTAGAGGAAAATTTTTTTTTTAAATTGGAGAGTTTTAAATTTCTCTCTTATTCCAAAATGGATGGAAAGCAGTCACAAATTTTGACAAATGACAAAAGGCTTAAGCTGTTTGGTCACAGCTTACCAGTTGACCCGCCGACGGGAATACAAAGGGGATTAAGACAAAGCCTAATCGGGCCCAAAAATACTTGGGTCCTATCTTCCGTACGGGGTGGCCGGCGCCATTGCCCTAGTACCACATTTATTGGGTCCTAGGAATGGTTTCCTACTAGTTTATCCCACATTGTCGACCCAAAAGGATTAAACCGTCTGGTCCTTCCCCGGGAGGCTGGGAGGGGGTCCGTTTTTTCGCCGTTCATTCTCTAATTTCCAGGCACATTGGTAACCATGCTCTGTTTTTTGGGACCTTGCATTTAGTTCTGAAATATTATATTGTCATCAATATTTTCTTATGGCATGTTTGTTTAACGCTTCCTTCAGCCCCCGACTGTAATAATTTTTTCATGATCCACTTCCAATTCCATGCCATTTATCACAAGGACTGTACAACACAAAGTGCATATAAAAAAGGTCCGCCAATAATTCAAGCACAACACAAAATATATATACAGAAGGTACACAAATACAACACAAAACATTTTAATTTTCCTCTTCATTAACCAGGAGTTCCATTTAAATTATATTTCTTGAATGTTGGAACTGGGGCAAGGTCAAGGCGATTTGTTTTTACACTAATCAAAGCAGACGTTTGCTGAAGATATGTTCTCATATTTTGCGGATAAATAACCAAACTGTATTCCTCATAAGTTGTAGTCATGAAGACAGCATTCAAAGAATTGGTGAACTTTGTATTTAGGCTTATTTAGTATTTCTTATATGTACCTGAGACTTGGAGGAATGTCATGGTACCCCTTTCGAAAATACCCTTTAAATTCACGCACAATTTCAGGGGTCTTGTGCCATGGCGCCTGGCGCGCATTCCTGAGGCTGGTGCCCAAATCCCCTTTCTTCTTGAATGGTCCAACCAGCTTAATCCGTCTACTGACCACAATGGAAAATAAGCTTGTTTTTCCTTTTGGGAATGGCAACATGAATTCCTCCAGCTTGTTCGGTATCAATTTCGTCCGTTTTCTCAGGAGAATTCACAAATATTAAAATTTAGAATTTTTAACAAGTTTTGGAAACTTTATAAGTGTTTTCATTTTCCTCGTTTCAACTTTCATCCGAATAAAAGTGATAAACCCTTACCCATCCAAAATCGCTGACAATGGGGTCGACAGGGACAAAGAATTGTACAGGGGCAGGGTATGTAGGAGCCAACTGGTGGCCAGGGTAGTCGGAAGATCGATAAAAATCGTCCCCCTTGCCCCTTGGGGCATTCAATAAATAAAATGCAAAATTTCTAAAATGCCCAATCAATGCTAAGACCAGAGTCCTAGCTACAGCTGCAATTATTTTTTGGATTTTTTGAAGTTCCAATAGCATGCCTACTTAATTTTTTTTAAATAAAAATATTCTTGAAACTAGGTTATTTGGTATCATTCTCTTTGTGTTTTTTAGAGGAAATTTTTTTTAAAAATTGGAGAGTTTTAAGTTTCTCTCTTATTCCAAAATGGATGGAAAGCAGTCACAAATTTTGACAAATGACAAAAGGCTTGAGCTGTTTGGTCACAGCTTACCAGTTGACCCGCCGACGGGAATACAAAGGGAATTAAGACAAAGCCTAATGGGGCCCAAAAATACTTGGGTCCTATCTTCCGTACGCGGTGGCCGGCGCCATTGCCCTAGTACCACATTTATTGTAGTACTGTACAACAATAATCTGACGTTCTAGTAATTTTATTCAATTTACTCCGAATGTTCTGATTAATAATAGATTTTATCGAATTTGTGGGAAGAATTAGGCGTTTGCCGGTAATTTTGGTTTTGTGTTGAGGTAGTTCAGGCTTGATCCCAGTGCATCGCTGGGATCAAGCGAAGTTTAAAATTCTTGAATTTAGTTAAATCACGTTGTTCTTCCAAGAAATTGTAAGCCTTTTGCTCCCATTTGGTGAATTGAAACTTCTGGGAATAAGCTTGAGCCATGAGGTCAGTCTGTATGTATTTGAGTCCTTTGATCTTATATTTATCTTAAGATCTTAGAAAGGAAACCTACATCACTTATCTAACTTTTTGTAAGTTTATTTTTGCTTTATGCATTGCAAAGGCTGCGAAATCATCACCTTTTTGCTTTCTTTTTCTTATAGGTTTCCATCGAAGAAGGCTTGGCGGAGACGGTACAATTTTTCAAAGAAGAGTTGGACCGAAGTAAAGATCCCAGAGACCACGCCTATTACCCTCTTGAAAGCGAGCAGGTGAAAGACTCATTTCATCGTGCGGACGAACTTTAACGTCTGATTGCGCCGCAATTGACGCGTGGATCAACGAACGTGGCTGTCTTATGAAGTGGTGGGGTCGAAGGAAACTGCTATAGGAATCGGATATTTTTCGGAATCTGCACAGGATGTGATAAGTTAGTGGTGTTCGGGAAGTGTGCAAACCTGGAAATCTCCCCGGGTCAAGTTGGAATCATTGGGACAAATTGAATTTGGTTGTTGTGCTAGTCTTCCTCACCATTAGTTTTTTTTTTTACTGAAGACATTACACTACAATGCGGCTGTATGTTGACGCAAGAAATAACCGTAACCGGACATTTGCACGCGTCTCAAAAGGGTGTGTGCGGAAAACGAAAAGTACAGAGCAGCGCTTTTGGAAAACAGTGTCCAAAATATACAAGGGCTGTCCCAGTTCCGTGAGGGATTAATCATTTCGGTTACGAGACAACTCACATAGCGACAACTCACACAGTGACAACTCCAACAGCGACAACTCCAACAGCGACAACTCACACAGGGACAACTCACATAGTGCAACAACTCACACAGTTCTTTTTTTTTTACTAATTTTTCTTTTTTTTTAATTCAGGTTCTGGCAAAAATGTATACCTTTCTTGTGTCTAGATTTTCTTCATCCCAAATTAATTGTATGCATTTATAATACAATTTAGAAATTTTTTATACTTGTGTTTTCAACCTAGTCAAGGATAATTTTGTCCTAAATTAATTTTGTACATTTATCATGTTCCATATTTTCAATACTTTTGTCTTCAATCTAATCAAGGATAATTCTGATGCATGCATTAATCCATGTTCTTCCTAGAAATTGAGCCCCAGTCATGTTTATGGCTGACAGCAAATTTATAAAAATTGTATCATAAATGTATACAATTACTTTAGGATAAAAGAGAATCTAGACACAAGAAAGGTACTGTATACCTTTTTCCCAGAACCTAAATTTAAAAAAAAAAGAAAAATCAGTAAAAAAGAAGAACTGTGTGAGTTGTCGCACTATGTGAGTTGTCGCACTACGTGAGTTGTCCCTGTGTGAGTTGTCGCTGTTGGAGTTGTCACTGTGTGAGTTGTTGCTGTGCAAGTTGTCCTGTAATTGTTTTTAAACATTTTTTTAGTATACCGTATGATGATAAATTAAACATTTTCCATTTATGTTCAGAGTTAACTCCTCATTTTCCAGTGAGCTGAAAAAACATGTTTAAAAAATTAGAAAAAAAAATATTTCTTGAACGTTTAGAGAAAAAAAAGTCACCTATTTCCATGCGTTAGAAATAAAGTTTTTAATCCCGCGCAGAATTGAGGCACTGCTTGTATTGTTATTTGTGCGCCACGAGATCCTTAAAAATGTGTGCACATAACAGTATTTTTTGGAGTTTGTGTCAGAACAAGGTGGGACTGCGAGGACGAAGGTAAATAATCATGGCATAATCCAAACCTCACCAGTCCATTGGCACCGCTGAGAAAATACACTGTATCGGAATTTGATGGCCTTTGTGTGGCACTATCCCGGTGTGATTCATTCACGGCTAATCGAGCTGGAATAGAAAGGTAGTGCATAATATTTTTTTATGAGAAATGCGAACATTTACATTTTAAATTTCTTTCAATCGGCGATTATTGGTGTCATCAGAGTGTCACCTGATGAGACTTATTTCCCGAGAATGTCACAAAATTTCTCCCATATCACAGATATCTACGTTTTCGAAGCAGCTCATTGAACCAGGAGTGAAATTCATTTGCTTTCAATTCACGATTTGGAAAATTACAGAATTGACATTGTTTTAGAGAGTTATGTTACGAGTAAAATTAAAACTACAGCATGGTACTATGCAGTACAGTATTTTCAACTTCTGTGTTGCGATTATTTGCTAGTTCTAGTTCATTTGGCGTTGAAATTCTGCATGGAATAGCATATCATTAGTTAAGGTTTGGTTAGGTTGTGTTATGTCGAGTAGGCACACTGGGTCTTTGTTCTGCGAAACATCCGCACAACAAAAATTTCTTTTAGGGTGAAGAAGTCTCACATAACATGGCACTCGTTTCACATGATCACATTTTTCTGACCAGAAATGCCCTTTTTTGGCCACTTCTGAGGTATAAATTCGTAATTTTTAAACAATAGTCGAGGAAAATGTGGAAGGAGTTTGTCTTTTTTATTTGAAAATTTCAGAAAGCTAAGAGCACAAACTCATCAGTTTCACTTCGGCTGTATTTCGTACTAATAATTTGTATACAGGTATCGGCAATTCTGTGTCAAAAGCTTGCAAAAATACAGTNTGAATTTAGTTAAATCACGTTGTTCTTCCGAGAAATTGTATGCATTTTGCTCCCATTTCGTGAATTGAAACTTCTGGGAATAAGCTTGAGCCATGAGGTCAGTCTGTATGTATTCGAGTCCTTTGATCTTATATTTATCTCAAGATCTTAGAAAGGAAACCTACATCACTTATCTAACTTTTTGTAATTTTATTTTTGCTTTATGCATTGCAAAGGCTGCGAAATCATCACCTTTTTGCTTTCTTTTTCTTATAGGTTTCCATCGAAGAAGGCTTGGCGGAGACGGTACAATTTTTCAAAGAAGAGTTGGACCGAAGTAAAGATCCCAGAGACCACGCCTATTACCCTCTTGAAAGCGAGCAGGTGAAAGACTCATTTCATCGTGCGGACGAACTTTAACGTCTGATTGCGCCGCAATTGACGCGTGGATCAACGAACGTGGCTGTCTATGAAGTGGTGGGGTCGAAGGAAACTGCTATAGGAATCGGATATTTTTCGGGATCTGCACAGGATGTGATAAGTTAGTGGTGTTCGGGAAGTGTGCAAACCTGGAAATCTCCCCGGGTCAAGTTGGAATCATTGGGACAAATTGAATTTGGTTGTTGTGCTAGTCTTCCTCACCGTTAGTTTTTTTTTTTACTGAATACATTACACTACAATGCGGCTGTATGTTGACGCATGAAATAACCGTAACCGCACATTTGCACGCGTCTCAAAAGGGCGTGTGCGGAAAACGAAAAGTACAGAGCAGCGCTTTTGGAAAACAGTGTCCAAAATATACAAGGGCTGTCCCAGTTCCGTGCGGGATTCAACATTTTGGTTACAAGACAACTCACATAGCGACAACTCCAACAGTGACAACTCCAACAGCGACAACTCACACAGTGAGATAACTCACATAGTGCAACAACTCACACAGTTCTTTTTTTTTACTAATTTTTCTTTTTTTAAATTCAGGTTCTGGCAAAAATGTATACCTTTCTTGTGTCTAGATTTTCTTCATCCTAAATTAATTGTATGCATTTATAATACAATTTTTAAGAAAATTTTTATACTTGTGTTTTTAACCTAGTCAAGGATAATTTTGTCCTAAATTAATTGTGTACATTTATCATGTTCCATATTTTCAATACTTTTGTTTTCAATCTAATCAAGGATAATTCTGATGCATGTATTAATCCATGTTCTTCCTAGAAATTGAGCCCCAGTCATGTTTATGGCTGACAGCAAATTTATAAAAATTGTATTATAAATGTATACAATTACTTTAGGATAAAAGAGAATCTAGACACAAGAAAGGTATACGTTTTTGCCAGAACCTAAATTTAAAAAAAAGAAAAATCAGTAAAAAAGAAGAACTGTGTGAGTTGTCGCACTATGTGAGTTGTCACTGTGTGAGTTTTTGCTGTGCAAGTTGTCCTGCAATCGTTTTTAAACATTTTCCATTAATGTTCAGAGTTAACTCCTCATTTTCCAGTGAGCTGAAAAAACATGTTTAAAAAATTAGAAAAAAAAATATTTCTTGAACGTTTAGAGAAAAAAAAGTCACCTATTTCCCTGCGTTAGAAATAAAGTTTTTAATCCCGCGCAGAATTGAGGCACTGCTTGTATTGTTATTTGTGCGCCACGAGATCCTAAAAAATGTGTGCACATAACAGTATTTTTTGGAGTTTGTGTCAGAACAAGGTGGGACTGCGAGGACGAAGGTAAATAATCATGGCATAATCCAAACCTCACCAGTCGATTGGCACCGCTGAGAAAATACACTGTATCGGAATTTGATGGCCTTTTTGTGGCAATATCCCGGTGTGATTCATTCACGGCTAATCGAGCTGGAATAGAAAGGTAGTGCATAATATTTTTTTTATGAGAAATGCGAACATTTACATTTTAAATTTCTTTCAATCGGCGATTATTGGTGTCATCAGAGTGTCGCCTGATGAGACTTATTTCCCGAGAATGTCACAAAATGTCTCCCATATCACAGATATCTACGTTTTCGAAGCAGCTCATTGAACCAGGAGTGAAATTCATTTGCTTTCAATTCACGATTTGGAAAATTACAGAATTAACATTGTTTTAGAGAGTTATGTTACGAGTAAAATTAAAACTACAGCATGGTACTATGCAGTACAGTATTTTCAACTTCTGTGTTGCGATTATTTGCCGGTTCTAGTTCATTTGGCGTTGAAATTCTGCATGGAATAGCATATCATTAGTTAGGGTTTGGTTAGGTTGTGTTATGTCGAGTAGGCACACTGGGTCTCTGTTCTGCGAAACATCCGCACAACAAAAATTTCTTTTAGGGTGAAGAAGTCTCACATAACATGGCACTCGTTTCACATGATCACATTTTTCTGACCAGAAATGCCCTTTTTTGGCCACTTCTGAGATATAAATTCGTAATTTTTAAACAATAGTCGAGGAAAATGTGGAAGGAGTTTGTCTTTTTTTATTTGAAAATTTCAGAAAGCTAAGAGCACAAACTCATCAGTTTCACTTCGGCTGTATTTCGTACTAATAATTTGTATACAGGTATCGGCAATTCTGTGTCAAAAGCTTGCAAAAATACAGTNGTTTGTCTTTTTTATTTGAAAATTTCAGAAAGCTAAGAGCACAAACTCATCAGTTTCACTTCGGCTGTATTTCGTACTAATAATTTGTATACAGGTATCGGCAATTCTGTGTCAAAAGCTTGCAAAAATACAGTTTCAAGGTTTCCTATGGTCTTCTTCGTGAGTGCATGGAACGAAATAAATACTTTTCAGTTTCCACTCAAGAGGAAATCATGTTTTACGGATTCACGTTACAATTTTTAAGAAAAAAATGCCCCCAGGAATATGGATTCTTTTTTTTTTCCATGTGGAACTCACTGATGTATCCAGTGCAGTATTCCTGTTCAACGAAAAGCCGAGCAAGGAAACATGTAATTTAAATGTTCATTTTGTTTGAACGAAGATTCAAGTTGAATGATCACCACGCGGAAGGTCGTGTGTGGCAAAGAATGGGAAAAAACTAGCGGATGGAAAATTCTGTTAGGGGGGGGGGGGGGGCTTAAATCCAAGTTGAATGCCTCTTCAGAAATGGGTTTGGTTAGTCACTTGTCTGGGCAAGTCCATCGCTGGCACCCGAATTTTCTTACATTTGTGGTGCGCTTTGTCCTGACACGCATGCTGTTTTGAAGGAAGCATCGAGTTGAAACGCGCGCAACTGTCTTGGTATACAGTAATGCGTAAGCCGCAGGGTTCAAGGGTAAGGGATCACTCGAAATGGTTGGAACTAGAGATAAATGTTGGTCGGGCGTATCTTTCGGGTCGGAATTTTCGATTGCGGGATTGTAGCGACTCGTTCTTCTCAACGCGGGAGACGATTAAACGACAGGTTTCAGGCGCCCGAAAGTCGTGTCTCTCCTCAAGGACAGGGAAAGAAGACGCGCGTTGACCATGTGATCCCATCCGCGAGCCTGCTCCTTTTTCTCGGTTAGAGTGCTCAACGATCATTCCCCGGTTGCTCTTCACCCCAGTTCATTCAGATTGTTTCTTGCNTCGGGCGTATCTTTCGGGTCGGAATTTTCGATTGCGGGATTGTAGCGACTCGTTCTTCTCAACGCGGGAGACGATTAAACGACAGGTTTCAGGCGCCCGAAAGTCGTGTCTCTCCTCAAGGACAGGGAAAGAAGACGCGCGTTGACCATGTGATCCCATCCGCGAGCCTGCTCCTTTTTCTCGGTTAGAGTGCTCAACGATCATTCCCCGGTTGCTCTTCACCCCAGTTCATTCAGATTGTTTCTTGCTGGAAAATTACTTCCTGCCTAATCTGTGTGGGTTTTGTTCGCAGAAATAAATACAGTACTTATTATGAGATAAAAGCGACGGCAGTGCTTGTAGTTTTCGTTTCTTTCTCGGAATGATTACGTAGGAGAAATTGAGTGTTTTATCTGGAGATGGGCTTCCCAGGTGGTGACCGTGTGAAGACAGGGAGATCGTACGATGGAGACGCGTTCCCCGTACGCGAGATACGGGCGTTAGCTGCTTCCTGGGTGATGCTTGAAATTTTAGTTCTCTAGGCACATGGTGGCGTGATTGAGTCGCTGTCGAGGCGGTTAGCTACTCTGAAAGGAGAATAATCTACACAGTATATTACTGTATTGTATTTGCTTTTGCGCGGTTAGTTCTGATTTTCTTCCACTGTACCAGCAGTGAAGTCTCTTGGACAATGAATCTCTTGGTGTAAAAGGCTTAGCGTCAATTTATAATGACAATAGTCTAAAAGCCTATTGCGTTGTGGCATAGACTTGCCCTTACACTTTTCGTGCAGCTATTATATTGTCAAATCCGAAGTCTAAGTGAAAAGTTCATAGTCACTTATTCTTCATTTCTTGAGCACTGTATTCCTTTGCAATATATGAAGGTTTCGACGATTGCCAGTGATTTTCGGTTCGAACGGGGATTTTTAGCTGGTCCTCTGTATATTTCTAAAACACCGTATTTGAAGCAAATATAAGACGCAGATTGTGGGAACTTAATTGGAAATGCTGACTTCGAAGAAAGTAAAGAAGGATGCTGGCAAATCCAAGATGCAGTCACTTGCCTTAAAATAAACAAAAACGCCATTCTTCGAGGATGAAACAAAAGTGAACCGCACTTGGGTGACAATATTTCCTCAACCACAATGCATTTCAGTGCTAAACTTCTGTACGAATAATTATTTCCTGTACTTTATTTGAAGGTGCTGGTTGTGCTAGCAAGTAATATTACAACTAAAAATTAAGTGTTAATTGCTGGATACTGTATACTCCCTCGCATGTGCACTTCGACGTATCCTTTGTCCTTACGTTATTTGAAGTGTTCTGCATTCATTTCCTATCGAGAACGCACGCTGGATCATTTTGTAACGGATGAGTCACGTGAGTGCATGGGACGTATTTTCTGTCAACCCCTGAAATCGGCATTTTACATGTCAAATCATCCTAAATGGGATAACAATTGACTTGTTTCTGTGAATTTCCCTGAATGGATTGTCGTGTCCTTTTATAATTCTGTATAACCTCGAAGCGGTGCGTTATCGTTGAGATTCGTCGAACATCCGAGAAAGGAATGGTGAAGTGAGTTCTATGGTGAAATACTGGGCTATGTTGATCTTTTAAACGCTAACTTCTTTGTGGTTGATGGACAGTCGTCACGGTGAGGTTACATGCCGGCTGGTACTCTAGATGACGACACATTTTATGCCGGAAGATAAGGAGTTAACATTACGGAGTGACGCTGCTTTTAATGAAAGTGAACCAGAGTGACTAGGTCAAACGCCATTTTTGTCAATATGCGATAAAATCATTTCCAAAGCCACATAGATCATGGTACAGTACATTGAAATTTAAGTGAATCCCAACATAATTAATGACACTGTTTCAAGAAAGAAATCCGCATTACAATTCGTCACTCAAGGAAAACATTGCTCACGTGACGCAGTTTTTCTGCATGACGAAATTCTCAAGACCAAAAAGTGCTGAAATGCCAGCACTTCCAACTTTTCAAACTTCAAACGTTGGCAAATGATTGGGTGTATCTTGAGGCAATACTTTTACTAAATTAATCAGGTGATTGCCACTTACACCCACCTGAGCAACCTAGAAAAAATGAATCTGTGCCAGTATTTACTGTATGCACACGAAATACATCAGCTCAAGTAAAAGGGTAAGTCAGATGTTTGTTAGAATTCTTGGAATGAAAACAGATCATGAGTATTTATGCTGAAACATGTTACAGTATTACATTACTGGGCCTCTCTTTACAAGAAAATTCAAGTGACCAGAAAAACATTGTTGTAGGGATAATTTTGTTTTATAGAGAACCCCTTATGGAGAACAAATATTCATACCAAGAAAATTGTTGTGGAGAGAGTCCATCTGTACTGTCATCTGGAAGGGCTAGTGGTGAGAATTTCAGTTCGATGTTCACTATTTCTTGATGAGCTCACTCTTTTTTTCTTTTTTTTTTAGCTTATTTGAAGTTTGCAGAGTTCTGGTGTGTCTCCGTGTGTGAAACCAAAACTTTCCAAATTATTGTCCACTATTATTGACTGAAGTACAATGATGTGCATAATTGCAAAATAGAATGATTTGCAGTAAAGTACATGTGCAATTATGTGTATTATTAAAAAAAAAATTTTTAATAGACTTCTTACAAGAATTAAATGAAAACATCTTCGCGCAATCATCCATGCATGAGTCAGCATGCCAGTGATGGTGTGGGTCGGCCATGTGGCATAGAGGAGAGAGGTCGGAGTGAGGTCGGCTGTATAATGGAGCGTAAATGCCTCAACCTGGTTCTGTGAAATGTGATCTTGGCTGTTCCAACATTGTGTAATGCAGAGTTTTCTAGTGCTCTTCGCTGATTTTCTAGACTCTCAAGTACTGTGTAGGGATCGTGATCGTAATGACCGGGTGTATCGCGTTTCGAATTCGAGTTTCCCCGTGTTCGTGATCCTTCAGCAGTGCCACTCCAATGTACGGCCGACCATGAGATCTACTGCTGTGTAAAATACGGCCTTCTATTCCTCAATTGTAATGCCTCACTGCGACGAAAATTACTTTCACTTGGTCTCACTGATCCAGGAACGCCATTTTTGTCAATATGCGATAAAATCATTTCCAAAGCCAGGGAGAATCACATAGATCATGGTACAGTACATTGAAATTTAAGTGAATCCCAACATAATTAATGACACTGTTTCAAGAAAGAAATCCGCATTACAATTCGTCACTCAAGGAAAACATTGCTGCTCACGTAACGCAGTTTTTCTGCATGACGAAATTCTCAAGACCAAAAAGTGCTGAAATGCCAGCACTTCCAACTTTTCAAACTTCAAACGTTGGCAAATGATTGGGTGTATCTTGAGGCAATACTTCTACTAAATTAATCAGGTGATTGTCACTTACACCTGAGCAACCTAGAAAAAATGAATCTGTGCCATCAGTATTTACTGTATGCGCACGAAATACATCAGCTCAAGTGAAAGGGTGAGTAAGATGTTTGTTAGAATTCTTGGAATGAAAACAAATCCTGAGTATTTATGCTGAAACATGTTACAGTATTACATTACTGGGCCTCTCTTTACAAGAAAATTCAAGTGACCAGAAAAACATTGTTGTAGGGATAATTTTGTTTTATAGGGAACCCCTTATGGAGAACAAATGTTCATACCAAGAAAATTGTTGTGGAGTGAGTCCATCTGTACTGTCATCTGGAAGGGCTAGTGGTGAGAATTTCAGTTGGATGTTCACTATTTCTCGATGAGCTCACTCTTTTTTTTTTTAGCTTATTTGAAGTTTGCAGAGTTCTGGTGTGTCTCCGTGTGTGAAACCAAAACGTTCCAAATTATTGTCCACTATTATTGACTGAAGTACAATGATGTGCATAATTGCAAAATAGAATGAGTTGCAGTAAAGTACGTGTGCAATTATGTGTATTATTAAAAAGAAAATTTTTACTAGACTTCTTGCGAGAATTAAATAAAAACATCTTCGCGCAATCATCCATGCATGAGTCAGCATGCCAGTGATGGTGTGGGTCGGCCATGTGACATTGAGGAGTGAGGTCGGCCGTATAATGGAGCGGAAATGCCTCAGCCTGGTTCTGTGAAATTTGATCTTGGCTGTTCCAACAGACACATTACGTCTCAAAAGATCACGAGAAGCGACTAAAAGATCTGAGAGTTCATGACACATCCCTAGCACTAGCATTACTGGCCCACATAGCGCAAAGCTTAAGCTCAAAGGGGCACAAGCACTAGGACCAAGAATAAGAAAACATAAGCTCGTGGAAATCATGGAAGAGACAGTGCGACAGTCCGTGGCGCGGATGACCTCCGTCGGTGTCATTCTCGCCGCGATACCTCTGCATTTCATGTTGAATATGTGGAAAATGTTTGTCCGGACCTTGGCCTACCTCCTTTGGGAGGACAGGGCGACCATCATGAGTGGGGTGGAATCCGTGTATGCCCTAGAACCGAACTGTTCAAGGAGGAACAGCACTGTGCTGAGCTGGATTATCCTTGACCATGGCCCGGTGTCGCTGGAGAAGCTGAGGCGGAGAATCCGGGAAACGCTCGTCGAAGCCGGGCAGTCTTCATTTACATATCGGTAAGATTTTGTCTCCGTTGTGCATTATTTTGCGACAGTAGTAGGTTTGGGATGAGTCGAAAGTTGTGTCAGTATCTTAGGCAGACATTGTTTGGCTGTTAAAGTGTCCGATTCAAAATCCTCGTACTCGTAACTTACTGGAATCAGTAACGTGACTTATGATCAGCGAACTTATTCTGGTTGTTCAGGATTTTTTTTTATATCAATATCACCCAATACCTGAGCAAATTCTTGCTCATCAAAATCAGGGTTCTGTTTCTGATCAAACGTAACATCCACCAGTAAAAAATCAAAGATGTATGAAAAAGTTTTCTCTTGAAAAATGGTTGTAAGACCTGGCCACAGAAGATTCGTTAAGCATTCTAATACAGTAAAATATTCACTTCATTGCCCTGTGTCCTTACATGCGCGTTGATTTTACAAAGGAAAACGTGGTGAAAATGTATTTCTGCATAAAGTGGGCGCCTCAGTTTTCTGGCGATCAATAAACTCAATATTAAAACTAACTGTACAAATTTGAATTTTTGATTGAATAAAAGTTTAAAATACAATATGAAACATAGATAGAACTGAAGATTCATTAAAATTATATTTTGAAACAACACAAAAATATTCATACTTGCAGCTTCTCATCGCTTTTAATTTACTCTGAGACCCGAGTATTTCGCGCCCCAAATTTTCAAAAGTTGTAAAAAGAAATATTACCAGAGTATATAAGAGACGAAGACAGTACAGTACTGATGTATACGGAGGGTCTAACCAAAGTTCTCAGAATAAAAATTGAAACGGCATACGATTGAGCTGGAAAAAAAAAGAAAAAATTGTTCAGACTAAATATTTATTGGCACACAACTCAGCCCTGTTTCTTGTGGAAATTTTTTTGAGAAAGCCGCAACATTCTCATCTCAAGTGGAGGTTGTGAAGGCGGCTGTTCATGAAAATGGCGGAATGACCAGAGAAGGCTAAAAGGCAGCCGTTGTCAGTTAATCCTATGTTGATTTCAAGAATTCTGAAGAAGTTGGGCTACACTACACAATCTACGAGATGGGCTCCTCAGTTGTAAAAGAAGGGCAGAAAGCGGCCAGGGTGACTTCAGCTTTTTTTTTCCCCGCAGAATATGTCAAACTGGGCTGCTTTTTTTTTTCTTGTGCCAGAGAATGTTTTTTCAGACCAGCAATCGTTCCTTAGCTCAATTGTATGCTGTTTCCCTTTTTAGTCCGAGAACTTTCGCTAGACCCGTCGTATAAACCAGAATAAGGTGCAGTATACATGGCGCTTGAGTAAATGTGGCAATCCGTTATAGTAAACCTAATCTGTTCTGGAATGAAGTCATGTAAATGAATTTGGTTTTTCCGTAAACTTCGATGGGGAAGAAAGCATAATCTGTTCCTGTCGCCAAAACGCAGAATAAATTGGGACCATTCTTAATGTATTCATATCCTATACAGTACTATGTCACCGGCCTGTGATCAGCATAGCTTCAATCTCATTTTTGACTTTCAAAGTCAGCACATTTATCTTGCCTACCCCTGAGTTTTTGTTTTTAGGTCTCATTCCTTCTCTTACATCATTTTGTCATCATCTTTCATCGGTATTTTCCAAAATCCTTGCGCAGAAGCTTTAATGTGTTTTTTTTATTGAGAGATTAACCAGAGCAGAATTTTGCAGACGATTTCGTCAGCGAATCGCCAGCTTCGCGGGATTCTACTTCTGGCGTGACGCCGATGTGCCGTTCAACATCGAGAACCACGTGACTCACTTATCTCGCATTCCGGACGATGCTACCCCGGAAAGCGACCAAGACGGTCACGTTCATTACGCGTCCCACCATGACCTTCCGCGCATTGCGTCGTTGATCTGTGATTTGCCGCCGTTTCAACCTAGCCTCCCACCCTGGAACGTGTACGTGGTGCCGAAAAGGGACTTGTCGGAAGCCGTGATTTTCTTTCGCTTTCATCACTGTTTGATGGACGCGACTGGTCTGAGTGTGATGCTGGCGGCACTTTTTCGGGACAAGCGAATCGCGAACAAGCACGGCAGCTTGAAGGATCTGACGTTCTTGGCCAGGAGCTTTTATGCAGCTAAAGCCATTTTCGACATCCCAGCGTTCTTGCTGAATCAGGTTGGTCATCTGAGAAAGTGAAGGATTACTGTGTCGTCTGTCTGTAAAGTAAACAGGTGGACTCTCTCTATAATGATCTGGTGTACAAAAATTTTTCTCTTTGCTGTGTATCGATTTTTTTTTACCATAGGATTCTCACACTATTTTATATGGGGGGTTCTCTGCAATGAAAATCTCTATGCTGTGAATTTGTTTCTGGGCCCTTGAATTTTGTTGTATAGAGAAAGTCCACCGGTATACTGTACAGTGTACGCATTTATCAAAAAAATATTTTATACAGAGCAAATTGTTGTAGATAAGATTGTTTTTGACAGTCCACCTGTATATATCATATACTGTACAGTATGTACCATATTTAACTGAGTAAAACGCGCTCCTTTTTCTGCAAAATTGAGGAAGAAAAGTGGGGTGCGCATGATATGCAGGTATACCTTTCTGGGTTAAAAATTGTTAATTCATTGATGCAAACTGGAAGTGAGTCCCTGTGCATGAAAATAATGAAATGGGAATTCTTGGTGGCACTTGGCCTTTTAAAATGCTCTGTGTTATAATAGTAATGTAAGGGATTGTTTAGTTCAGCATTATTACTGTATTAAAAAAAAATATTTTTTAACCTGAAAATGGGGGAATAAATGTAAACATTTTTGGATAAATTTCAAGCAAAAAAAACTAAAGTGTGCCTCATATTTGAGGGCACGTGGTACTCAAGTAAATATGGTAGAAATAAAGCTTGTCTCAGTTGTATGTAACCTCTGATATCTCTAGAGGGGGTGTGATCGTAAAAAAAAAAAAAAAAAAAATATAAAGAATGCATGGCATAGCCCATGATGTTCTGAGGTCCTGGATTTTCTTTTGGATAAAATGGATATGCATACATTGTATAATGATAAGTGAAAACTTTCCAGTTACAGCCAGAGTTCTCCACCCATGCCACAGGGTGCTAAAGATTTGTCAGGCCAGTTCAAAAATTGAAATATCTTTGTTGTTTCAACTATCATTTAAAATGAAAAAATAGTGGTTTATAACAACAAGAAAATTTACCGTTTTTAGCCTCAACGTTTTTCCCTGAAGATTTAAAAGGGCGGATATGCCTTTTTTGTCTTGTCTTAAATTTACTTTTTTCCTGAAATTATTGAAAGTACTGGACAGTATTTTAAAGTGCCCAAGCATTCACTGCATCATAATTCTCAGCTGGAGAAAGACGATTGTAAAATTAATTTTGAGATTTCTTCAGTTGCTTCTATACAGTAGTTATAGGTAACACTGTCCGACATGTTGCATCTGATGTGCGCGTGAAGATCCATAATTGCCATGATAGACTCATAATTGCTTATTATTCATGGAAACTCATGATATTGTTGCTCGCAAATTATGCATTTATTATTGTGTCCATGTGCTGTACTGCACCGAATACCCGTTCTGCATACGTTTCAATTGGTTTTCGGCTAATTTTCCGTTGTGTGCATTTTTCTGGTTTAAATTGATGATCAGTCACGCCATGTACAGTACTGTACTGGGCTCGATTCAGAAATTTTTTTCGTTCTTTGAAGCTTCTTCGGGCTCATGATGTGAATCCACTTCATGTCCCCGGCATTATCGCCAATGGAGACGCTGGTCGATGGGTGTATTGGAGCGAAAATCTACCATCTGAAGTGTTGAAGGATTTTCGAAAGAGGCTGAGTGCGACTTTGAATGATGTCGCTCTGACTGCTGTTTCACGGGGACTTCGTAAATACATGGAGCTCGTGTCCGAACGAGGTGAATAAATCCTTCGAACCTCTTTCAAAAATATTCGTGTCGAACTGGATTCCTGTATAGTGCGTGTTACTGAGAGCGTGGGGATGAATTCATGGCCAGGTGATTTCAACGAAGATTTAAATTTCTAGGTCAGAGAAAACTCGTAGAGAAGAAAGAGTCTGCTGGTGAATATTAATTTTTCGTGTCAATTTCTCTGTGATGCTGTATTTGAAAGAATGTCTTCCAGTGGAGAAGAAGGATGAGACTCCATAATCGGTCTAATTGCATTTGCGATTTGATGAGATGTTGGAACGCAGCCTTTATTACTTTCTCATGAATGCCCCGCAAAATTTTTCCTAAATCCTGGACAAGATGTATTTTTAGTCTAAAGAAAAAATATAATTTCTTGATGAAGCTGCTGGAAAAGCCATGTTTTGATTTTTAGCAACAACAAAAAATGAAAAAGGAGGTTTACTCAAAACCATAGCTATTTAGCTAATTTTTGAGCGAAAACTCTACGTGGATGGAGGACAACTGGAATGCTTTCAAACACGAATGGAAATGAGAAACCTCGCAATTTTGGCATGCAAATAAATTGCACGAACTATTCTTCGCTGTTCACGCCACAGAAACTTCTAACAATCACGATGGCATATTTTTTAAAGCATGTGAATATTTGACGAATTCAGAAAAACTGGTTATTTGAACGGTGTTCTACCAACGGAGAATTTTATTTTATCTCATTAGAATCATGATCAATTTATTCGTTCCCTTGGTTTTTTTCTTTCGAAGATACCTTCTAATAAATCGTGACTTCGAGCCGATGATTAGCTTATGTGTCGATACCATATTAGTCACTGATATCTTTGTTTAATTTTGCACAGTGCAGATGACTGATTCTACGTTTTTCAGGCCTGAAAAACTCATGGACTTTCAGTGCTTCGCAGCCCATTTCCCTGTGGGTGAGGGGACAAACCACGATCGGGAACTGCGTTAGCAATGTTGTTTCCCCGTTGCCGTTCGTCTTGAGAACTCATCCGTGGACGCAGCTGGAAGAAACAAGGAGCACCATGGACCAGATGCTGCGTTCTTCGTACCCATGGGCATCCTACATGATGCTCAAATTGTTTCATAACACTTACCCAAGGAGATTGATCCAGTTGCTCTCTTCCATGATGTCGGAAACGGCGACTGCTACTGTGACGAATGTTGTTTATTCACCCGACATGCCGGAGTTGATCAAGGATGTTGGCCTCATTGCATCTTTGGATCAGGGACAAGGTATTTTCTGTAAACTATAATGTATTTTTCGAAATACTGTGCTCTCACTATTAATGGGGGTTCATCTGAGTCAGGGTTGGTTAGGAAATATGATCAGGTCTTCATTTTTTTTAGATACCCAATGGGTACTTTCACAATATTATTCCGTGTAGAAGATTTGAATACACGCAATTGTATCGAAAGAAAGTTGGAACTTCTGCTGTGTTTTTCATATGTCCTATTGGTACTACTGCTCATGCGCATCGAAATCGTGTGCTGAACGTGAGGATTCGGTTAGAAAATAATTTATTTAGGTCAGAATAATGCAAAAAAATTATTTTTTTCTATGAAGAAAATTGCAGATGTTAAAAAATCAAATCAATCCTGGGCTTTCGAGAAAAGAAATCTCCGAAGTATGTATAAGCTAATTCTGGGAACGAACAACGTGAAACGAAAAGGCAACTGTGATGCGCTAAAAGGATATATGTACATATGTGCGAATATAACGAAATTTATTATGAGGATCGCGCAGATAATTTTTTTTATACCCTTCCTCATTTTTCGATCATTTTTGAAACAGTGCAGAATAACTTTTTTGTCCGTGCTTCAATTGATTCCTCATAATTTATGAGAACAAACCTAAAACTTGGATTTAAAACTAGGGTTTGGTATTCATGCATCTTCTTGAAAAAAGTGGAACCCATGCAGGGACGTATCGCCAGCAATGATTTGTTCGGATTCGTTTTATTAATTTTTTGAAGCTCTCTATTTTATCTGTAATTTTAAATTTTGGATTTTAAATTCAGCCATTGACCTGAATGATCTCATTTCCTCCGTAAATCAATAACTTATCGCATAGCTCATAAAATAAAATTGGTGTTTCACCCAGCAATAAAAAAAAGTATTTTTGCGCGGAAGAAGAATTTGTGTTACTCTTTCTTATTCTTCTTGAAAACCTGCTGGACCATTCGCTTCTGTGTAGTGATCCCAAAGGATGTCAGATTGTGATGCGTTTCTCGTTTATTTGTTATTAAAAACGGAGCAATGCTAATTTCAATATTATTCCTGCATGCCACAACATATCTCGAATGGCCGCGTATTATTCTAGCGTTGAGTTGATGAATTTTGGCAACACTAAGCTAATACCTGTACGCGCATTTATAACTTTTTTTGGTCCAGCTGTAGGATTTGCCGTATGCACAGCGATGAATACCATCAAAATGACGATAGTTGCGGATAAGTCGGCGTTTCGGACTTTGGACGACGTCGTCACATTGATGTGCGACCACTTCCTCCTCAAAAACTCTAAAGTCAGGGACTCGAACTGCCTAACCTGCTGAAAGGTCGCGGCCTCAGCGGTGCCCAGCCACCTACCTTCAAATCTGCACTGGGACTCTCCTTGGGCTGAAACAATGACGGCTGCTGTGCAATCGGTTCCGCAGTCGCCAATGCTGCGGAAAGAAATTATTTGAATTTGTTTCAAATTGGTGCGGGTTTTTTTTCGTTTTGGCAGTAAAGGACTTTTCGACGTTGCCGCCTTTTTATTCTATTCGATTTTCCTGAAACTCAAAAAAGTTTCTATGTAGCTGTTGCGCGCCTCGCAGACAAAATCTTCAGAATGAATAATTGATGCAAGTAGAGTCTCCGACGTTCACTTTTTCACTCCGATGTACTGTTTTTGATCTCATTGAAATTAAATGGCTTCATAATGGGCTAATGCAAAATGTATAAGTCAACATATGTATGTCATATATAAGATGTTTTTGGTAAAAAAGACGACTGTCGTTGGAAGGAAGTTACGAGGTCGCCTATAAATGTAGGCATTAGAGACATTTTTATTAAAACAAGAATATTTCAAAGTTTGCAGCGTGGGGCCCAATCGCATGCAGGAGTATAGCACGGTTGGATACCATGGGTTTAATACACAGAAAAGTTTCCAAGGTACCGAGAGACAAATTTGTTTGTCCTTTTGTCCCTGCTGATTGTCAGTAAAGAATTATCAATGACAAAAAGCTGAATTATTTCTTGGAAAAAATCTATTTAAAAAATGTTAATGGTTCATACTGAAAATACTGTACAATGAGCATTAAGTATTGGATCAATCATTTTTGTGAGGTGAAAGAGTTTTCGTCAAAGTCAAACCTCATTTTTGTTGAAGTTCAAGGGACAATAGAAAAAAGTTGTGCAGTGGGAAAGATGGAAGAATTGCAGGAAACTGTAAATGATGATATTGTGGGCGCTAAATTACTATACTTATGGATTAAGTTATTGACAGGATGCTACATTTTCAGGCTAGGGTTCTTTGAACAGCAGCAATTATGTATAGTCTTTCACTTCCTTTCAAAATATTATTAATTTTCTATTGCTTTCCTCTTTCTTATGTTGGTTATCATATATTGGACTATATATTGGTTATCAATTGAAGGCACTATCCTGTGGGTCAGGGCTATTTGCAGAATTGCGAAATTATCCATTGCAGATGTGAACACCGAATATGTATGCAACACAGTATGAGGATGATACATTTCTTCATTTTTTACCTGTTTACAGTACAGTACTGTATATGCGCAGGTCCTCCGCTCCAGCATGTTCTATTACTCATATTTCTAGGATGCTAGTTCGAGACACTACAACTTCGTAGACATAGAAAGGTCCCGACGCGGAGACGTCACGGGCCACACAGGTTGAGTACGCACTCGCTCCAGCCTTTTTTTAACGGCGGTCAATCTGAGGATTACGCGCAGGCTCAGCATCGCTCTGAGCGGTGTGGCGATGAGACGCGAATTTCATTGGTAAACGATCGTTGATATACATTTTAAGCCTTCGAGATGTGCAAGATAGCCTTCCCGCACAAAAACTTGTCTTGGCGGTTACATTTCTTCTGTATCTAAAAGATTCTACTCATGATCACTATCTGGTTAACCTCAGTAAAGTAAGAAATACTGAGCTTGAAGAGGATGATTTAAAAAATGCTCACTGTATTGAACTTAAGACAGATGACATATTTTTGAATTCATCATTTTTGTGTGTTCAGATATCAACTCGTCGACATTATTTTTCAACTCAAGGTTGTCGTATTTGACTTCTCCGACTTCCTCTTTCAAGTCGTCCACTTTTTGTTTCAGTTTATTGAGAAGGTGGTCCAAGTCGCCGGTCGCTACCGCCTGGTCCTCTTTGTATGATTCCAAATCTCTTTTGACTGTCTAAAAAGTGAAATAATGGTCTTTATTCCCATAAAATTTACCCGAACTAGCATTCTTTGCGAATGTGTTCCTTCTCACGATGTCAGGAATCAGTTTACATACTTGAGCGAGGACTTGTATGTCGGCAATAAGTTCGATGATTTCTTCTTTTTCACTCTTGTCCTTCGGTTCGCTTTGAGCAGCGACGCTCTTCATTTTCGAAGGATCCGTTTGGCTCAGTTTCGTGCAGTTCAATAACATCTGCTTCGGGGAGCAAAATGTCTTCAAATGTTGGAAGTAAGGCCCAACGTTTTCCGCTTCCGTGTTTTGCGATGACGGTGTAAGTTCACTGATTTTGCAAGATACACTGACCGAACAGTTGTACACGCAGTCTCGGCAATTCTCGGCGTCTCGAAGCATGCCTGAGCTTTTGATCTCGATTAAATCTTGAGGTCTGTAAAATTTTCGATTTGAGTGAGATCAGCGAAGTTCGGGAGCTTACGTATTTATCCGATTATTGAATTTCCAGATTGTTGCAACGATTTTCGAAAAAGAGTGCATATGATGGAGGAACGGAATTATAAAAAAAGAAACGCGCTCTATGCGCTGATTGATGTCGCGATTTTTGTGAAATAAACAGTATTTTTCATGCACGAAGTAGAGGATAATGAAGTGCGGAAGCTCAGGCATTTTTCACTTTTAAGGCACACGAGAACAAAGGACCATGCTGGAAAGACTTCGGAGATTTTTTAACGCTCTGGAATATAGGTTGAACATGCGGCGTAGCCTTTCCTCAAAAATCCCAGGTTTAAGCTGTACATTATTCGAGTTTTTGGTCGCACGTTTTGCGCCCAAAAAAGGATAATTTTGAGAATTACGGCCATTATTCGAGTAAATGGTGGTGATCAAGTTTATTGTACCGGCGAACGATTTCTCGAGGTTCTATACTGTACAACTGAATGAGACTCAAGTGTCGTTCACCTTAGAATCAAGAGAGTCCGTTGCATGAACGGAAATCGACTGGTCGAGTCATGATTCGCTTCGGCTGGTCGATTTGCTCGCAGTTTTGTGACTTCTCTCTCGACTGAACTTACTAGGCACATGGAGTCAAATAGCTCCTTGTATTTTGCTTCATGTTCTTTTAATTTGAAAATTGGAGTAGTCTCGTACTGCACGTAAAGTCGAGGTGCTTGTGAGTTTCCGTTGTTACTCGGGACTTCCATTCCGCACGCCAACTTCATGCAAGTTCTGGCTGTTTGAGTGTACATTTTTGCGAAGGACCGGATCGACTGGAAGTAATTGTCGTCGTTGTCATTTTTCATCCGGTCCACAGTCGCGATCTGCACTTGCCTCGTGATGATTCTGTTCGATACACAGTCGTAAATTTGGTTTGCTTGCTGTGGTGAGCATACGATGATGATCACGTTTTAGCCGGTGAGTAGACACTCCTTCTTATTAAATCTCTGCGCAAATATGATGTGAACAATTTTTGCGGCGAGAAAAAGAAAAGTGTTAACTGTGGAAGCGGAGATCCGTTTATGCCTTCTTGCCGCAACTTGCTTGGACATGACTTTCCCACCGTTCCACTCATCTGCGCAAATATGATGTGAACAATTTTTGCGGCGAGAAAGAGAAAAGTGTTAACTGTGGAAGCGGAGATCCGTTTATGCCTTCTTGCCGCAACTTGCTTGGACATGACTTTCCCACCGTTCCACTCAATAATTTTGGAAATCGAATCAACAAGAATCAATGGAAATGAAGAGTATTCTACATTAAACCGCGTACCACAAAGGCGCCCATCAAACTTAAATCGGAGGCAGTCACGTTACAGCTTTGTTTCCTAAATAATATTATCATTAACTCATGTTATCATTGTGCTACAGAGGATAAGTTCACTGCATGATTTGAGCACGATTCAGAAAACCAGAAAATGTGCAGAAATGCAACAGTTCCGGAAGCTAATGTTGACCTTATCTCAGATGCGTCGAATTATTTATTTCTCCATATTAGTTCTTGCTTTGTTTGTCAAAGGAATTCGAGGAGATCTGTAATCAAAACAAAAAATAATTGGTTGGCTGAATCTCAAATCTACATTTATTCCGCGAATGTCTTTAATCAGGAACTTTTTGGGTCATCTCACTTGGACGGTCAAGTCGAACTTCAAGGTATCAGGAAACAATTTTATTTGGGAGTTTTTTGAGTTAGGGAAACATGCATGTTTTTGCGGAAAGAAGAAAAATTACGGGAAATTGTTATTGGTGATCCTGTACCAATTAAATTCTTGGCCTCAAATTGCTTCTTAGATGACTTGACAGGATGCTGAACTTGAGGCATGGGAAAATCGGGCACTGGTGATTGGATCGTCGGTTGATCGATTTTCTACTACAGTACTGTATTTTATATATTCGAAAAAAAGAGGATAATCACGCACCTTCCGGAAGATTTGAATTCCCCGTACGCCAGCCACGCCAACTGGAACAGTTTGCATGTTTGAGGAAATACCAATACACCGGGTATTTCCCAGGGTTCATCGCTCATAACTCAAATTAAAGATTCACACTCAAACGCGCTTAAGGGGATTGGCTCCCAGATTAACGAACCGCTCTGCTTCCCCGTTTTGGAAATGCGCAATGGCTCGGAAAGTCTTCGTGACCAAGGTTAGCTGTTGCCACGTTGCTTAAACAGTCCGTCCAGCAGCAGTACCTCTTCCTTAAGTCCGCTGCAAGGCACTCGCTTTTAGCATCAAGTGCAGCTTTTACAGAAAAACTTACGTTATTTGCAAGCCCCCTTAAAAGAACCCCCCCGCTCAATTCTTGACAGGCGATACGTTCGATGAATAATAGTACACTGCGGCAATGGCTTCAATTTTTTTTTTTACTTCAGGGGATTGTGATGGAATGCGTCTGACGTCTGGAATTTGTCTTCTGTCAGGCAGGATAGGATTACGTCTTATATGTTTGGCCTAACTAACTTAGTTGTTCTGAGATTCGGTAAGGTTAGCTAGATTCCCATTATTGTTGGGGTGGTTCACAAAAGTCTACGATTAGAAAGAACCCTCTTCTTCGAAGAATCCCCCAGAATTGGCGTCTCCTTAATTTGAAAATGCACTGAAGCCCCGACGTACGGACGATTTGATTTAGGGACACGTAACACTCAAA